AAGAATAAATCGAGCAAAGTCTGTGTCATGAATAAATTTAGAGAAGTATCATTATTATAAATAAAACCGGTTACATAATCACAAACTTGGGTATCCAAAGATTATCTAAGGTTATTAATACTGTATTATTGTTACTTTTCTCTTTATCCTTACTGGTGGTCTAAGAAGGTTTATTCGTTGCTACAAACAGTTCGTTAAAGCATTCGTTGGATGTGATAAAGTACCTTAATATTGTTGTAACCCTGTTCTTTTGTTAGCGAGTTCTTTTAAAGTATCTGGTGAAAGTAATTCAAAGTTCCGTCTACTTAAAAATAACAAATTAGTTTTATTTCCTCGTTAAAGTTTATTTACAGACTTGTACATTTTAAAATTTGTTCGAGGCTTATGTTTACAGCCAAACTATACTAAAAAAATCAACTTCCTTGTACAAATAACTCAAAATACGTTAATAAACTGATTGATTCACTATACCAAATAGAAAACAATTCTCTGTTTTATTAATGCTTTACTGTCTCACTGCAAGCTTATTTATCCAGTTGACCGGCTCACCTGTATTTATAATTTAATCCTTGTTCTGGATATCTCGTTCTTTAATATTTCTGAATATTCTAGGATTTGATCTTAACGTGATGCGCCCTCTAGCTAATTTGTAAATTACTACTTTAAAATAGCTTATAACAATATTTTATTTACAACTTCTGAAATTATGAGCGAAAAACTAGTTGGATACATGACGTATTTATTGAAGTGAATTATATTTTAAGTTGATCAAGCGCAAATATAAAATTTGTGACTTTTTAAATGTCTGTAAAGTATTTTATTTCTATGAGCAGTGTGTCTTAGAATGAAACTACAATATGATACTAAATTTTACTATGGGAATATTAGTATACGATCTTTTGATATATATATAATAAGGGTAATTAGAAACTTACTGTTCACTCAGAATACTCTCAGCACATTTACCTTAACCTTTGGCCACTCGCAGAAATATTTTATGTGTCATTTTAGACCATATTAGCCTGAGATTACAGGCGAAATATTCATTAAGACTTGAGATTTTCGAACTTCATGCATCAAGCAAAATGTTCTAATCATATGGATTCCACCTGTGACGTGATGTGTATACACCTACAATATGAATGACTTTCAAAATGTTTGAGTACAACTAAGCTAGAGTCGCATGTGTTGCCATGTTTTGTACTTTTTTGCAATTCTATTGGTGAATTCAAATATTCCATTTTACGCTAAAATCAATGGCTAAAATGCTGTTGGACATATAACAAAGCGTATTACCTTATTTAAACTAATTCGGAAAACATGCACAGTATAATTTGATATTTTTCAACCGGTGGACTGGCGCATTGCAGTTACAAAGAAGAAAGGTCTTAGTGGTAAATAAAACTTAACGGGTATTTGAGTTTGTTTGTTTGTTTGTTTTTAATTAAGCACAAAGCTACACAATGGACTATCTGTGCTCTGCCCACCACGGGTATCGAATCCCGGATTCTAGCGTGGTAAGTCCGCAGACATACCTCTGTGCCACTGGGGGGCAGGGTATTTGAGAGCACGTTGTGTTAAGAATCGGTCTTATTTGGCTAGGTGTTAATATGTCTCTTTTTGGTTTTATTAATATCTCAATCACAAAAAATTGTGGGCTTACAAAAATAACACGCGATTTTTTTCGTGTATCTTTCGGGGATGGGAAATATTTTAGACATTATTCTTACATTACTGTAGTTTTAAAGGATGGGCATTTTGAACACCACACTTACTTCATAGATCTTTTTTTTAATATTGGAAAAAAATACATTTGTACAATCTACTCTTTAGTCCTAGATTACCGATAGGCTTCATATCGGCTTTTTAAACACATTCTTCAAAACTATGTCCCATACTGTTTGTGGACCAATTTTACAGACTCTCTAATAACATGAATCACACAAAAATCCCATCAATATTGCAATTAATCCCACTAATTACTGCTGTGGTCCAGGTATGTATTTTACATATATAATATGAGTGGTTTCACTCAACATTTTGCTCAAATCTTTACATTGATTGATGCAACAGTCAAGAACATACAATTACTCATTATGGTAAAACACGTAGACCTCACCGGTAATGAACGGCATAATAAAAAAGGGTAATACGAATGTTAAACTGAACTGTCATTAAATATGACTGTTCCTATATTTGATCCTTTGTTGTTGAGTTTTCTGATTTCAACAGTTATTGTTGCACAAGGTTTGGGTACGATATATTAAAACGATTTTGAAACCTCATCACGTTATTACAGTCCATCTTTACAGTAGCCCTGCAGCATAGTTTCTATTGTAAAAGGCTACGTCGTTAGGCTGCCATGTCAAACGCACACCATTCCTCCCTGCTTGCATTCCATAGTCCATCTCGTGTATGAGATAGACGGTTTCCAAGCGCTCGTTTCAAATGTCCACACAGAAATTCATAAGCTCTGCATCCAACGACTTGGCTTGTAATTTTTTTAAGGAATAGCACGAATGCCCATTTTATTCTCCAGCTACTTTGATGTATTCAACGGTTGAATGGATATATCGTGGAAACAGCTTGTGTACACATGACGTGTGTCGCTTTTACTGACAGAGATCCTTCTGGATTATGTTTCTAACTTTTTCCTGTGACACATGAGCGGTTTTTGCCAATGACCCCTGTGTCCATGGATTCTCACCTATTACAAGACGTCGTACTTTGCTTATCATGGCTGGGGTACGACTTGTTGCAGGTCTCTTTGTAGATGGTCCTGGTGTCCAAGTTAATCCATATTATTTTATTTTTTAACACCAGTAAGTACAAGGAATGTCCCCATCTTGAAAATTAGGAATTCCCGATCTGAACACACCTTTATGATCCGAGCGTATGACTATTTTGGGTCAGAAAGGGTTATTACATACCCTTCCCAAAAAACAATCAATTTTCGGTAGTGTCACGCTACTTATGAAACGCCAAAAAATGTCAAAATGTAGCTCTTATACATGAAGTTCCACCGTGAATTTGTATCGACTGTGGGTATCACGTGACATACTTACATATTCAAAATCGTTTTTAATATAACGTATTTAACCATTGTTACGATGCTTTTCCCCCTTCTTACAATAAATAACAGTACTTACTTATTACCTGTTTCTCCTGTTATATCTAATATTGTTGTTACACAACACCAATTTTACAGTTATACGTAATACTGGTGATTATAAGGTGTAAGCTTTTGGTAGTCCTTTACAATAAAAGAGGATGGTTTTCTTCAATATCAGAAGTAATTTTATGCTTAAATGTTACGAGTTTAAGAATTCAAGCTCAACTGGAGAAAATTGTTCTTTTTTTTTAAATATACTTGTTACTTTATAAAGTATTTTCGAGGTCTGGTCTTTCTGTTTAAAGAAAAACCCGAGAAGTGAACGAGCGTGTCGTATATTTTTCCTCTTGTATTGTACAGAAGCGGCTGATAATGAAGAATCATATCAAATGACAGAAATATATATATATATATTCTTTTAGAAAATGATTAATTTTACTCGAAACATGAGTCAGTACTTTGAGTGAATGAGAGTAACTCTGTTTTCAATTATATTTATATGAAGAAAATTAAAAAATATTGAAGGAGTTCATCCAAACAGTTTGGTGTCTTTAATAACACGTGGAAATCGCATGGATATATATATATACAGTTTGATTTTGCATAGTTTTATTTCAGATTACAACATTTTCAGCCAAAGAGAAGATTTTCACGCCAATGGAATCAAATATTTGTGCTTTGTTCTCAAACGATTTAATTTACGTAGCACACAACAAAATGATGTGATCTGAAAAAAAAAAAAAACTGCTTAGCTATTGCTAGTTTAAACCAACCATAAGTTGGTGCCATTTCTGCTAAACACATCAACCTTTACTAACATTGGTTTAATACCAGTCTCTGAAATCAGCTGAAGTGAAAATAAACTTTCCAAAATATTTCTCGAAAAAATATCCATTAAATTATATAAGCATAATACTAGAAAAATTAGAAACTTTTCTTACATTTTTTTACAAAAGCTTTCAACCATTCTTCTATCTATTGAATAATAGAATAAAACATTTATGAGTGATAATTTAATCATGCATTATGGCTAACTGAAACGTACATAAAGTGATTATAACAGCTTGTATTGCACGCCAACTCAATATTTTAGTATACAACTACTCGATATTGTTGTGTTAAAGTAAGCGCTGACGGTTTGTTTTCTTATCATGGCATAGAAGTTGTTACGTATTAATTAATGGTCTACGTAAAAATTCCAGGCCATTTTGATCATTCATTTGCAAAACAGCGATAAGCATCGAGAAAAAAATTAACGAATAAATACAGAGGTTTTAGATATGGACCCCATCGGATTTTTTACACACATTGTTCCAAAATATATATGTATCAAATTGCTGGTTACTGAATCATGCAAGTAAAAATAAATAAAATTTAAGCAAAAATACCATCAGTACTGTACTTAATCTCAGTCATTACCCTGCGGTTTCCTATGTATTTTGGTAATTTGTTTTCGTTAAGCATAAAGCTGTACAATGGGCTATCTCTGTTCTGCTTATCGTAAGTATCGAAACCCGATTTTTTGTGTCATATGCCCACAAATTTATAGCTGAGCCACCGGGGTACTTATACATACGGAAAGTGGGTGTTTTCACCGATTTTCTTTAGACTAGCTCCTTCCTGTTTATATTAAATGTAGTGACAGGTGAAACCATGAAATTACTCATTATGGTTCAATATGCAGATCCCACAGATATTTAACAATAACAGTACGCAAACTCAGTAATTTGAGCGTTAACAAGAAGAGAGAAACAAAAAAACATCATAATTCATTACTTTAACCATAAATCCATATATTCTCGTAATAATATTTTTAGTCTAGTACTATGAACCATCATATATTCCTAATCATATTCTGCTATAGTATACAAACTATCTACCCACGTACATGGCGCAGTTGATCAAGAAGTTCGATAATTATTATTCTTCCTTGTAGGCCTAACTAGCTTAAAATAGGGTCCATTCTTGCTACACAGCGACCTCTAAAACTGAACGGTGGTGGCAAGCACCGATCAAGCTTCTTGGTGCAGAGAACTATCGATCGATGTCGAGCCCTTGCGTTGTTGAATAAAATTCCGCCTTCAACCACGCGCACTCGGCGTGGAAGTACCCGGATCAACCAACTGCTTGTCTGGCAGGGCAGCTCGTATCTGTGATGGCGGAGTAATGGAAATTATTGTGGATAAGCCCTCGAAAACTGACGATTTTTTAGAAAGTTGGTGATTTTTTTGTTAAGTGGTGGTACAATGTCAGCCACACGTGAAGGCTCAGGGGCTACTGAGTCCCATCATTTCCAGTACGTAGGGCCCTACAGGCTAGAAAAGACATTAGGCAAGGGGCAAACAGGTAGGCCTTTTCACCCATGTTTTTCACAGAGCACCCGATTGAAAGTGTCTATGGCTTTGAAAGTCGACTTCCTTAAATGGCTGTTTTTACTCGTTTATATAAATAACTATTGTAATAACATACTAATAATTAATTATTATTGCGAACTCCTTCATGTATTTAAATTACAAATTGTTTGTTTGATATGCTTAAAAAAATTGGTTTTGTCAACTTTTCTGGCGAGGTTTTGAACTTTATTCATTTTCCTTTCCTTATATTCCAACACTTATTACACATTTAAAAAATTGTCTTTGATTGAAATTTACAGTTTGAGGCATTTTAAGTTAAAATAAATGTCAATGATCTGTAAAGAGAGAGCTCTGTTTATCGACGCGTGCTTGAAATTTACACGAATGCGAACTGCATTTTTAATTATTTTAACTTAAAATGCCATCTACTGGTAAAACAATTAATTATTGATATTTAGTGGACTTTTTCTTTTTTTAATACGAATATCTAAATAAACATAAAAATGGTTCTGATTTTACTACCATACCGGGCTACAGAATCCCTAGTTAATATTCATGTCGATTCAAATAAGCTTTTAAATGATTTAAAATATAATTTAACTAGTCGGTATTTTGAATATTTTTATTTACTCAGAAAGTTTTTTTTTTTTGTAAAATTATAATAAACCTAATAAAAATGGTTTAAGTTCATCAGGAGCTTTATAAAACTTAGTAATTTTCTAAGGAATTTGTTGAAACTCGGTGATGTTGAAGAACCTGGAGTATTTTATCATGATATTGATGTTTTCATTATATTATAATGAAAGACAAAACGAAACTCATTGCTTGAGCTCCATGTATTTACAGAGTACTACTCAGCCATCACTATGGACTCCTGGTACAGCTACCAGTTGAGGCAGACTGGTAGCATTAGTTTGTCGGGTTAATCCGATTTTAAGGAAACATAACCATTGTCTGGCTTTTTCGATATTTAATGGATTAAAAATGAGATCTAAAACGTTCTGAAGCATGACATTTTCCGTTTTATGTTAAAAAGACATCAATACGTCAAACTGAAATTGCTCCGAAATAATGTATTAAATTTTATATTAAGAAAAGGCTAAAACATAAACATGGTGGCCGTAACTAAATCAAGTCACTTGCTATGGTTTAAAATTTCACCATCTTTCATAAATTTCATCAACTTATTCGAGGCGATGTAGACATAAAATTTGTTAAAAATATACATACTATTATATATGATCAAAATGTTTTATGAAGAAAGCTCTTGAATTTTGAACACTTAAACTGGAAAAGAATTATTCTTCGTGTCAGTTCATTGCTTTATAACTATTTTTTTTTCGGAATACCTTATGAAGTGTTTTGAGTTTAAGTGATCAATGTTTGAGAAAAATTTTCACTGTGACACAGAATGAAAAGAACTTTGGAGTGATTATGTTGGTAGCAAGGGGCTGAAACGATGATTCTATAGTGTTTTTTGTTTTTTCTTGTTTTCAAAACATATCGGGAAACTGGAGTTAATTTTCAAATACGGTTGCTTATGGGGTGTAAAGAAATAAAACATTCACAAATATCGATTTAGTGTTTATAAAATTATACAAATTGGGTAAAAAGTTTGTTTTATTTTTTTGTCCATTGTTAACTTAGTATTTAGGCCTAAACCTCATGAAATATTATTGGGATTACGACCGAAAATATCGCTAACAGCAAGAGTATCCAAATGAGGAAACAATGCTTTCTAATTCTTATAATAACAGTATATTCAATTAATGATACTCATTATTGGGTTAATTTTTAATTCTAATCTATCTAAGCAGCTTGCTTTGATCAGAAGGTAATATTAATTTCTTAGAGATATGTTATTTTCTTATTTATTTATAAAATCGGTGTGCATGCAGTTTCGAACCATGCAATTTGTTTCTTTTTTCAAAGGCTGTTTTTAAAAAAGCTGACCCACTCGTTACCGATTTAAAAAAATACTTTTGTGTGACATACATGCTTTATTGGTAGCGAAAAGGTTAAGATAATGTTATTTGTTTACGCCCATAGCTAATCACTGGATATCTGTGATGTGACCATTATATATCTGTGATGTTGATATTATAAAACAGTTAACGAGCTTCGTAAACTCAACCTGATGAAACATATCTAAATAAATAAAAAAAGAGAAAACTTATCAGAAATGCACTTTGAAACGTTTAAATGTATGATGAAATAATGATACCTTGAAAATAACTTAAACTCTAGAATAGATATTATTGACGTTTCGTCTTATGTCTTTTTCAAAGTACAGTGTTCTGTCTGAGTAGTGAGAAGAACAAACTGTTATAAGTAACCTTTTTTATTCTGGAACTTAAGTAGTTTTCAACTTATTATGACTTTTTTCTCTCAGCTTTCACTACTTCATATTCAAAACTAATACTACTGATAATACAACACCTAAGTAAAATCAAGATACCAAATTAAGCTTCTGCCACACATCAGCATATGAATAAATTTGTTTTCATTCTTAAGTACATTATAAATTTATACTGTACTGCAGTTGAACTCATTTTGAGCTGTTTTCAAGATCCTTACAATATGTAATAAGGTTATCAGCACAAAAATTGTTTCCACGAAAAACATACAATACATCAATCATACTTGCACTTAGTACCGAGTGTAATAATAATAAAGCTAAGCCTAAATGTTCTCATACTCTGTATGAATTCTGTACGACTGAAGTGATATAATGAAATGACCTTAATCTCTCAGAGAATAGAAAATAACAGATACTTTTAGGTTTGTTGTTGTTGTTAAAATACGCGTAAATCTCTTAAAGTTTGGTTCATCTTAACTCGGTCTAAAGTACAATGCTTACGTAATCACAGATTGTTTTTTATGTGATACTTACGGTGAGTATGAAGCACTGAAAGTTGTTCGATTTCTCGACATTTGTCTTATAAATGGATAAGGTTCCCAAGTATTACCCGTTGTTAGACTTAACCATTAAGTATTTAATTAGATATTTAAGTATTGATTCAAAAATTGATTTTCTATAAGTTTCGTAATCACACTTTCTACTGTGAAATAGTGGTTTTGCTCTATTCGACGAGTGACGCCCCCTGTTAATACGTTTATCTTACGCAACGCCGTAATTTTGCAATAAAAACTCTATTAATATGATTGAAGTACCACGTACTTTCGTAGCGTGAAAGCTGATGGCATATGCAGCTACGTCTTTAGTTATTCCACGAGAAATTGTAAGTGTATTTAATGATTAAGTACGTGTTTTTTTTCATAAATGTATGGATGTTTATTTAAATATTAGCCGACTTTATTAACCCCTGTAGACAACAATATCACGTAAACAATAAGCTTCAGAAATATAAACATTAATAAGTGTTATAAAGAACTGTGATTATTAAACATAATTTGAAATCCTAATACTTTTAAAAGAAAATTTGCTTATATTTTTTTTTGTTATTCAACGCGACAACGCTGAATATGTGTGATTAATTCACTGTGATTTCACTTGATTCCAAAATTCGACAACAGTAACATTCTATTTCATTATTACTCAAAAGCATGATGTTTTTAATATTAAGAAAGTAATAATTTTATCTTACACCCAAAAGGAAAGTCCAAGAATAATAATGTAGTTTTAATTTGGCTACAGTCATATTGTTTAATTAAATCTTTTTTACACAATTATCAAAACATTACATACAGTTTGGTGGTGTTGTAGG